TTCGTTGTTAACACAATTTTACCTCATCGCCATCGTTCAGCTTTCTGTCCCTCACAGTTCTCAGTCTTTGTTCTCAATAGTCCCTACTCTTATTCCTACAGCAACGACCGAACCCACGACAAACCCAACAACACTGACACCTGTACAGTCGGAAACTCAGACATCTCAACCCACTGTTGGTAAAAAAAAAAATTGTTTCATTGTTGTTGTTGTTTTTGTTGTTGTAGTTGTTCTTTTCCTTGTTCTTGATCTTCTTGGGATTTTGTTCTGAGAGGGGCAGAGCTATGAGCAAGTATGTCGTACTTTAGATGACAATCGTGCTCTCATTTTCACGTTTATGTATCTGTCGGTTACACCATGTTGCCTGTAGAAGCTCGAAGACGATATGAATTCAATAGCTATTTAACCTCAAAGACTAAATTAATAAAAATACAAAAATGCGATCGAAGAGATAAAAGCAACAAACGATACCAGCAGTTAAAGCATATATGCAAATACAAGTCATGTACGTAGATGAGAATAAAAGAGGGAGGCTGATTATGATCAAATTAAGAATGGATGAGCCAACAGAGGCCAAAAACTTGCTAAATGATATCCTTGTTTATGAATGAAACATCCATCTGAACCAATAAACGGGGAATATTAAAAGAAAAGAGATACATTGTGAATATTTTCACCAGTATAGGATAATTGACAAGTAAGGCAATTGCCATTAGACCTAGACTGTTTATGATACAGATATCACTCGAAGACACCATTTATACAAGAGGTGTCAGAGTCAGAGGTGTGGTGCTTTAGTGGTTTCAACATTTTGGCAGTTGATGTATAGCATGGGTGTCGATCCCGGGGGGGGGGGAATGGGGGGGGGATATATCCCCCCCCCCCCTAATAATTCACCCTCAAGGAAAAAAATTAAGAGAAATATTAATGATGAGAGCCCGATGAGAGTAGTTAATGATTATTACTCGCAAGATGACTATCAATATACACATTTTGCTATCTCATTTTTATAATACATACATATACAGTATACGAAGTAAATGAGACAACCGTATATGAGACAAGAATAAATTGAATTCTCGCTCATACGGCTTCATCAGGAATTGATGAATTTATTCAATTTTTTCAATCAACAGCATCATAGAAACGCAGCGTTAAAAAGCAAGGAGCTAAATGTTAAGCGCGAAGCGCAAGAGTAGCAATCAGCAATGCACATCAGACAATCCTGGACAGTGTAAACATAGATGAACTCTGTGACGAATTCGTGATGAGATCGGAGACAAGTAGAAATATTTTCGAAAAATTAGTATGACTTATAAGATAGTTCACTAGTTCACTGGCGAACTGTTAGCAGGGCCTAGGGGCGCTAGCCCCCCCCCCCCCAAATGAAATCCAACTATGACTTATTTTCAATTTTATACAAGTGATTTATAAATCTTCGTGATATCACATGATTTTCAACAAAATTCGCGTTTCTCCATTTCTGTTGCAAACTGACACATTCCAAAATAGCCAGGAAGAACATATATTTTGTATAGTCATTTATGTGCCTAATTAGTGGCTGTTAACACTAACAGTAGTATACAATTCCTTTCAAGAAGCTATTGCGATAAGCACTACCGAGAGATAACATGCTACCCACCACTCGGGCTTTGCATGCACGGATTTGCGAACGAACGTTCCATACGTACATCATGTGGGGAAACTGAATTCAGACAAAGATTAAGAGTCGAGAATGGAAATCGAATCGTCTTCTTTATTTAATAATCTAATGAAATGTCAGAGCTACCGCGCTACGCGCGGAGGAAATGGAACTTCATTCAAACATTTAGGATTAAAAGTCGAGAATAGTACATCGAATCGTCGTCTTTCTTTAATAAGCTAATGAAACGTCAGAGCTTCCGCGCTACGGGCGGAGGAAGGGGAACTTGATTCAAACAAGGTTTAAGAGTTGAGAATGGTACATCGAATCGTCTTATTTCTTTAATAATCTACTGAAACAACAGAGCTTCCGCGCTATGCGCGGAGGAAAGGGAACTTGATTCAAACATTAAGGATTAGCAGTCGAAAATAGTACATGAAATCGCATTCTTTCTTTAATAATCTAATAAAACGTCAGAGCTTCCGCGCTATGCGCGGAGGAAAGGGAACTTGATTCAATTATTAAGGATTAAAAGTCGAGAATAGTACATCGAATCGTCTTCTTTCTTTTATAATCTAATGAAATGTCAGAGCTTCCGCGCTACGCGGGGAGGAAGGGGAACTTGATTCAAGCAAGGATTAAGAGTCGAGAACGGTACATCGAATCATCTTCTTTCTTTAATAATCTACTGGCTACGCGCTTGGGGAAGGGGTGCAACCTGCCGCACGCTTCTACCTCTTGGTTGCTTTGATCTATTGCCAACAATATTTTGGCACCTATCATCCCCCCCCCCCCAACCACGGATACAAATCGACACCCTTGATGTATAGGTTTGAGATTCGAGTCTCGCGGTCTTGCACGGATATACAGGTAGTGTAATTCTGGTTCATATTTTGACACAGGATTTTTTTTTAAAGATGGGAGCAGTGGATGCTTACAGGGAATAAGTTGAAGGTTTTTAAAGTTGTTGCTTTTGCTTTTTCATGCAAAATAGTAATTGTGTCACTTTTTAAATTAATAATGTGTAAATTTATTTCCAGACACCGATATTTGTTTGCACTGGAAACATTTTTTGTTCAAAGAAATGTCTTCATAATTTGTAGACATACAATTTAAATACCAATGAGTGATGTCCAGTAATTTTATTGCGTTAAAAGACCTTGCAGCTCCTGCCAATATGTATTATTTTTTAGATACATGGCGTTTGTAAGAACAAATTAATCTATTTCATTTAATCAAGTTTCTTTCTTTGAAAATAAGGTCCTATCCAGGATGCTAGCCCTCTAGGATTGGAAAGTGGGGCAATCCCAGATTCAAGCTTGACAGCTTCTAGTGAGTACAACGCCAACCACGGTCCGCGTCGAGGACGGTTAAACATAGCTAAACACGGAGCCCTGTTCGGAGGATGGACTGCCAAAACCAAAGATTTAAACCAGTGGATTCAGGTCAGTGTCTATTTCTTAATTTTTTTCTTGTTCGTCTGAAGCTTCTCAAGCTCATAAAGGGTATCTCTCCGTCACAACACGAAACATGTCTTATCTTGTTACTTGATCAACCAATAGATCACACGAATAAAGATTTCGTCAAATATTAATTCCTTCTGAAAATACTGACAGACTTGAAATCTGTTCAATTATCTATATATAACATTCAATCCCGACGTATTCAGGGCTAAAGATCTACAGCATTTTTAATTATACATGTATTAATTAAGTATTTTATGCACACACCCAGTCCGAGCGCTGACCCGTATGACTACAGGTACATATTCACAAATAGACATAAATACTTCCGATCAAGCATGCTAGAATAAGCTATCCCGCAATCGAACCTCGTAACCAATCACGTAACCTTCATTTAATTGAAGAACTTTCTTTAGAAAATGGACACAGTTTTAATTAAATAAACCAAAAATATCTATATACGCCGAACCCCCCCCCCCCCCTCCCCTCCCCTACAGAAAAACAAGAAGCCGACAGAATAAAATGAGGCTCTTTCCAAATTATTGCTAACTATTAACTATTGCTAAATATTTTCTTGAGGAGGTAATTTATGAAGGGTTTGATATAGATGTCCTGTTAATACAAAAAAATGGTATATATATATTTATACATGTAAATCAAGATAAAAAAATATCTTCAACGTCATTATCATTCAAATCTCAGGTTGATCTTTTAGATACGTACATCATCGTAGGAGTGGCAACGCAAGGTCGTCAGGACCAGTTCCAGTGGGTATCCAGCTTCAAGATTGCCTGCAGTATGAATAGTATTACCTTTGATACAGTGAAAGACCCCGTTAACACCGACAACGACAACGTACGTATCGATTTACTCATCCTTCGACCCTAATCAGTAATCAATTGGTCGATTACGATTACCGGTCACATGTGATTCGTTTATTGAGCGTTTCTCAATTCTTTTATTTGTCCATGATGTTTATCATAGCACTGATCTCTCTCTCTCTCTTTGAAATTACACTTTATTATATTCTCAATTGATTGATCTTGCGTGTTTTCCTCAGATCTTTGCCGGCAATAGTGACCGAAACACCGTGATTTACAATCGCTTTCCCGTGCCAATGGTGTGCCGATATGTTCGCCTTTTACCTTACACCTGGCAGCAACGTATTTCTCTTCGTATGGAGCTCTTTGGGAGACGCCTTGGTGAGTTTTAGGTTTAAACTGAGTCGCCTTCATTCAAACAAGGAATGTTATGTAGTGTATATATATTAGATGAGCTAGTTTATCAGGGTGACGGCCCCGGGCGCTTGCCCGCAGAAACGCCCCGGAAATATTCGAGGGAGGGGGGGGGGTTGTGGAGTTTACAGAGTAAAGGCTATAACTGCTCAGGTTATGAAATGCTTTAGAATGAAAAACTTTATTAACTTTTTTCATCAAATTATTGGAAATATTAACAAATGAATGGATATAAAAATCCCAAAACAGAAGAAAGAAGAAAAAAATTAAACTTTTCATCAGCTTTACAGTCATGTCAGTAGATTTAAGCACAATATTTTAGCCAGGGAAAGATATACTGCCTGCAATTTTCTCTTTAATTATTTACGAAATATCTTCGAAATTTGCTAACATACAAATGCAATGCCAATGAGTGAGGTCTAGTAGCTTTATTGAGTTGGAAGACTATGCAGCTCCGGCCAATATGTATTATTTATAAGTACATAAATTTTATTAGGTTAGATGAATCTATATAATTAAAGCCAAGTTTCTTTCTTTAAAAAAGGCCCTATCCAGGATGGTAGCCCTCTAGGCCTAGAAAGTGGGGCAATCCCAGATTCGAGCCTGACAGCTTCTAGTGAGTACGACGCCAACCACGGTCCGCGTCGAGGACGGTTAAACATGGCTAAAGTCGGAGCCCTGACTGGAGGATGGTCTGCCGAAACAAACGATTTGAACCAGTGGATTCAGGTCAGTCTCTATTCCTGAATTTCTTTTTTGTTTGTTTGAAGTTTTACTCCATAAAGCTTCTCAAGCTCATAAAGGGTATCTCTCCGTCACAACACGAAACCTGTCTCACCTTGTTACTCGATCAACCAAGAGATCACAAGAACAAATATTCCTTTAAATATTAATTCCTTCTGAAAACACTGACAAATTGGAAATCTGTTCAACGATCTATATCTAACATTTGATCCCGACGTATATAGGGCTCATGACCAACAGCATTTTCAATTATACATGTATTAATTTAGTATTTAATGCACACACCCAGTCCGAGCGCTGAGCCGTATTACTAGAGGTACATATTCTCGAATCGACATAAATACTTCCGATCAAGCGTGCAAGAATAGTTCGAGTTCGAGTTCGTTTATTCATTTCTTTTTCATAAAAAACACAACAAATGCAAATAAACATACAAGTATATATACATACATAGAATATTCAGTTAATACAATAGTTTCAAATGAAATGGAAGAACAAAGAAAAAGCCCATGGTGGCCTTGTATAAGAAGTTCCCCGAATATTATAATTTATATTATTTATATTACTGAGCATATATTAGTTAAAGATATCACAAAATACAGCGATAAACACAATAAAAAAAAGAAACTACAAAACAAGTATGAAATAATTTAAAATTGGAGGGGGGGAGGTTTAGAAGGCAAATTTAATGGTATTCAAAATAAAAGGTCAGTTTCAATTGTTTTTTAAACATTGTACTGTTCTTATATAGGGATGACTGGAGGTAGAGTGTTCCATATGTTTGGCAAACTATTTCTTACAGATTTTTGAGAGAATGAACATTTTACTTTCCATAAATGAAACGTGTTACAAAGCCGAGTATTGTGAGAATGAAATACGTAACTAATCAACAGTTACATTCCATTGAAGAACTTCTATTAGATAAGGGGCATAGTTTTAATTTAATAAACAGAAAATATCAACAAATTTCGAAAATACCTCCACCCCCTCCCCTACCAAAAACAGAAGAAGAAAAAAAGGAAGGAGAACAAGTTCAAATGCTAAAAATCCAAAAACAAATTGCTAAGTTTGACTATTGCTATTTTTTTCATGAGGAATTGACAAAGGAACTCCTTAGTGTTATATATATAGATGTCTTGTTAATACAACAAGTTTGTACATATATGTGTATATACAAAAACCGTTTTTACTATTTCCATTTTCGATATCATTATCATTCAAATCTCAGGTTGATCTTTTAGCTACATACAGGATCGTAAGAGTGGCAACACAAGGTCGTGAGGATTATTCCCAGTGGGTAACCAGCTTCAAGATTGCCTGCAGTATGGATAGTGTTACCTTTGATACAGCGAAAGACCCCACTAACACCGACAACGACTATGTAGGTACCGATTTACTCATCTTTCGACCCTAATCAGTTAATTGGTCGATTACCAGTCAAGTATGATTCGTTTATTGAGCGTTTCTCAATTCCTTTTTTTTCACGATGTTAATCTTAGCATTATCTCTCCTTTTGAATTTACACGTTGTTCTTTTTGCGTGTTTTCCTCAGATCTTTCCTGGCAATAGTGATCGAAACACCGTGGTTTACAATCGCTTTCCCGTGCCAATGTCGTGTCGATATGTTCGCCTTTTACCTTACACATGGTATCAACATGTTTCCCTTCGTATGGAGTTATTTGGAGAACTCCTTGGTGAGTTTGTAGATGATGATAGTAGGATGACACCCCGGGCTATTGCCCGCGGAACGCACCCTGATTATTATTATTATTATTTTTGTTTGGGGGGGGGGGGGGGGGCGTTCATAGTTAACAGATAAATATTTCAACTGCTCAGGTTATGAAATGCTTTAGAATGAAACACATTATAAATCTTTTTCATCAAACAATTAGGAATATTTACAAATGAGAAGAAAAAAAAATTCAGAACAGTGACATTTCGAGACAAATATGAAGAAAAAGAAAAATCATTATTTAAAGGCAACTTTTCATCAGCTCTACAGTCATGTCAGTAGATTTAGGCACAATATTTAGGCCAGGGAAAGACATACTGCCTGTAATTTCTCTTTGATTGTTTACGAAATGTATTCAAAAGTTGCTGACATACAAATAAAATGCTAATGAGTGAGGTCCCTGTGGATGTATTAAAAGCACTTGAAAATTTAGCCCCTAAAACACTTCTGCTTTCGAAAAAAATTAAGTATAAATTTACCGGTGCTCCCGGTAATTGATGACTTTCAAAAAGCGCCTTCGGCCAGACAATGGTAGCTGCGACCATGCAAATCTCAGAATATGTAGATGTGATATATAATATTCAGACGAAAATAGCTAATCGGTCGCTTTCAGTCAAGAAACATTGTTTCATAGCTTAATTAATAACTTGACATTGAGAGGGAGCTATACAACATTAAGAGTGTATTATTTACAATTCATTACTTTAGGAAAAATTCCTCCGTAGGGCCATGCATTATGGTTCAAGGCATGCCCACATAGAAGTTTTTAATGTTGGGGGTCGGGGCAAAATTCATTGGCTAAGCAATGGCCTCGTAACTGTGAGCCCCCAGGATCAAAACCGTGTCGATGTCCTACATTAGTGCCCTTTTATGAGGTATTAATCCCCATTACTGTCAGTTATGACTTAAGGACGTAGGTCCCCTAGTTGATGAGCTCTGTAGCACACACATACTTTTGCATTCGCGCAAAACAAATACTTCCCACTTGTTATTCAATAAAATCTGAGAATGTATACTTTTATCTACATCTATTAGAAATAAATCATTGTCAAAATTATTGATCAAAGCACACGGGTGCTCAACCAATCAACAGGCCGTCGCCTCGGCTCGCCTGCCCGGGGAGAACATTGGCGTACTCGACCAATAGGCCTTGTCCGTTATTGTTTTAACTATTCGACCGCCGCACAGTGGGCCAGGAAGAACCAAAGTGCGCCAAAACTCATGAATTTTCGCTTGAATTTTATTACCAACATTTTCTCTGATGTCTAAGCTTTAAGTTGATACCAGATTTGGCTGCCCGATTCTTCCCATTATTATGTTAGAGCCGTTTTCCTTGCAACATTGCCCCGAAAAAAGTGTTCATTTTGGTCCGCGGTGTCAGAACTAATAAAGGGACACTAGTCAGAACAAGTGTCACGCGCCCCCTCGCGCCGTGATTTATGACCACGAATCCTTCATGATTCAGCCGCGGACCAAAATAAACACATTTTTTCGGGGCAATGTTGCAAGGAAAACGGCTCTAACATAACAACGGGCAAGATCGGGCAGCCAAATTTGGTATCAACTTGAAGCTTAGACATCAGAGAAAATGGTGGTATTAAAATTTAAGCGGTACACCGCGGAGATCTAAACGTTTATTTTGGATTTATAAAAAACATGGATAATTAGTCCATTTTTCAGTGAATTACCCTATAATATATCATGAAGATTGTGTTTCTATTAATTTTAACCCATTCATTCAACGAAATGAACTAACAGGAATATGTGAGAGCAATTCCATATCAATAACTTAAAAACTTCATGTTGAATTGAAAGATTTTTTTAAAAAGTCACTTTTGCACTAAAACTGTGAATATGTAGGATTTTGCTGTTTAAAGTAGTAAATTTATACCCTTATTGTGCATACCGGAATTAAATATTTCACTGAGGTATTCCTCCATGTATTACCTTTCAACTGGGCCAGAAAAAAATTGAAAAAAAAAAATCACCCAAACTTAGTTTTGGCGCACTTTGGTTCCTCCTTGGCCCACTGTGCGCCGGTCCACCCGGTCCATCCGTAGAGTATAAAAGACGCTTGCTTAAAATATATTTTATCACCTGACGAATTGTAGCAGCGGCACACGAATCGTCGTGATCTTTTAGATCCCTTGTTGACGATACATTGTGAGACAAACGAATGTCACTAGCAGTTTATTTTCGTTACTATATCCGCAATAAGTAATATATTTAGGGTAGTAAATTTTCATTGGGTGTATCAAGTTCATTTGATAAATTGGGTCCTATATTTACAAATGGGAATTAAAGGTATCGGATATATCTTCAGACTTTATAACTGTATCAACTATTGTAAAATCTTGATTGGGCATTTTTCTCTTTTTTCTTTCCAATCAAATTATTTATAATTAGTTTAATATAATTCGGTTTGTTTTATATATTTTTGTTTATATGAATGGTAGAGTTCATTTTGACTAGCCTTGTACAGTTTATTCATTGTGTGTATCTACCGTAGAATTTCTTTTGTTATCCATTGCATTTTACGACGTTGATTTTTCTTGTAAGTTGATACTACAAAAAAAAAAGTTTATGCTTATTTTTGATATTATTGATAACTGACCAGGAAATACTGTACTTGATAATACTGTCATACATAAAGTCTTTTCTACGAAATTCCTGGGAATAATAGTAGGTGATAAACTTTCATGGAAATTGCATGTTCATAATGTTTGTAAAATAATCTCTTGAAATATTTGTATTTTTAACAAAGTAAAATTGTACAGAGCGTATCAATAACAAGCTTACCCTACGTTGGTGGCTCCTAATTGAACATTCATAACCAATATGACTTTTGGATTGTTTTCATGATAAAAAGTAACCTATTTTCTGTCCAATGATACCCTATTCATAATTATGTCTTCCACGGGTGAATGAGCAGCAGGGTCTTTAAAAAGTGTTGACAAAATCGTCTTGTTCCAAGTTTGTGCCTTAGGGACTTATGTATTAAAGTGTGGCCATATAATACAAAAAGTTAAATTGTGCCTCGTGCTTTAGTGCTTCATTGTTCAAAATGATGTAACTAGGCTTTCACAGAAGCTTGTTTTAATCGACAAGATAACCTTTATTTATTTTAAACAGTCTACTAATTTCTTGTATTATGATATCCAAGTTCTGTCTGCTCACTTGTCCACTGCGCTATTTCATACGCGTAAGGAGCATAAGGTATTTATATCGAATAGCGATCGAAAACTCAAAGGTTACTTTTATACCTAATGCAAGAAAGAACATTTACGATGGTAAACATCGAAGAAATTGACGAAAGACATTCATTAAATATAAGGTAACATCCTTGATAAACCCTATTATTTTGTTATCACTCAATGAGAAGTTTACCTTAAACAATGGATGTGAATGAAGGCAAAACTTTAATCACCATAACGAAGAGAATTTCATAAATTTTGCTTGTAATAAGCATTTCTTTGAGTTTGAGTTGATGTTATCACTTTTTTTCTTACTGTCTAATAGTCAACGAAAAAAGAGAGCAATTGTGTTGGAACAAGATAACATACACATTGGCCCGAATTCACAAAGGAGTTTTGTAGACCAACCTTGGTTTTCGTGCGTCATATGACGCGTTTCGACGCGTTTTTAAAAACCTGGTTTGTAAAAGATGACTTTATTTTGTCATGTCATGGGACATCGTCTGCTTGTGCAAATCGTGTCCATACTGTGATCTCACACATCTCAGGAGCGTTCGGAGAGCTCTTCAGGTGCTATGCCGGGGCTGTACTTAAGCGTTTTATAATTTATAATAATCATTACTTCGAATGTTTCCAAGCATTGAATTTTGATAACCTTGTCGAATCAAAGTTTCAACTTTGTAATATGAAATTAAGTTAGTTTTTAAAATCAATGAATATCTACTTTAAAAGTATCTGTCGCTCCTATTGTATGAGTGTGGCATGATTTTCTTGAGTCACTACACGAATCCGGTCCAGTGCAGGATACAGGATCTAGCATTGGAATTGAACCCTACCTTCAAGGTCTATGGGAGTACAAGTGTAGGATGATTATATATATGCGAGCTAATTCACTTTCAAAATACATTGTCCGTCAGATGGAAGTCGCCTTTTTGGCATTCAGCAAACAAACCTTGACATGAGTGCTTTAAATCGAAATCATCTGGTTAGAAATCATGGAACCCATTGCCCAGCATTATCAACAACAAGTTTTGATTCTCTTTAAAGGGATCCGGTTACATTGTCCCAGATTCTGAAACAAAGTCCTGGATTTTGCTCATGCTGCAGTGATAATTATAAACCTTTAGGTCAGCCCGGAACCGCATGACTTTTGCAAGCCGATCGTCTGTCTGATTACCAAGATATTTATGTTTGGAATTACACATTTTTAAAACCGTTTGCCAAACGGTTTTCATAACATAGTACAGTCTACTGGGGAAAACAAGTTGGGGAAAACAAGTATGGTAAAACCGGTCACTCAAATATTTTTAGTTTTTTGAGGTACTTCTTGATCATTTTGAAGTGCAATTCTTTTAGGGCTTCAATATCACACCATATCAGAGACACTGATAACACGTAGGGCCGTGCATTTTAGATTAAACATTGTTAAACGATGCCTTTACCTGCTTTAATTTT